TTTTCAGCATAAAATGTCAACTCCTGTTTCACAAGAGGGAAGACCACATACGTCAAGGAACATGACCATTTATTAAGGTGGAAGAAATGATTAGTCAGAGATGAAGAATATATCCTAGGCAAAATAACTCAATGCAATGGAGGATGGGGGATTATTTCTAATCCGCATAATGGGAATTTTAGTTTCTCAGCATCCTTTGAAATTCTGTAGAACAATGTTTAAAAGAAAACAACTCATATGATAAGAAATGGAATATTAAACTATAAGGAGAGCCCTAGAGTTTTTGTTTGTTTGATTGGTTTTGTTTCTAATTTGCAGTTCTTATAGGATTAGAATTTGGCCCTGAGAGCAGAGTATAAAAGTACAGTATGAGCACAGGACAGGAAATGGCGATCACTCTATTACTAGGAAAAGACTTATAGAACCAGATTACATTTCTTATTTAAAAAGTCACTGACTAATCTGTTTATAGTCCCAAGGGCTGATAAAGCAAACATGTTACTAACTTCAAGAAAAGAACAAGGAAGACAAAAATATTCTTTGGCCCTTATTCATAGGGCCTACTTTTATACTTGGTAAAGTAGTTTTTACTGTTAAATTTTTAGGTGCCATAGAGTCTGCAAAGTAGAGAATCAGTGAAAAAGAGGAAGACCCTCAACAAGATGGACTGACACAGTGGTTGCAACAATGGCCTCAGGCATAGCAATGATTGTGAGGATGGCAGAGGACCAGGCACTGTTTCATTCTGTTGTACACTGAGTCGTTATGAGTTGGAGCTGACATGAAGGCACATAACAACTTCCAGTTTGATAATGTGCTCATACCGAATTTTGTGAAGCAGTTCTACTCTGTTTCATAGGGTTTGCTATGAGTTGGAATGGACTAAATGGTAGTGGGTTTGTTTTTGGTTTTTTTTTGGTTGGATCGTAGGGTGGGCAATGATTTGGTCATACTAGCAGAATTATCTGGGCTAGTTCTGGGTCCTTGGCTGATACAAACAGTTAATGTATTTAGCCACTAACCAACAACTGTTCAAGTCCACAGAGGCACCTTGCTTCAGAAGAGGTGGTGATCTATTTGAAAAACTCAGCCATTGAAAAAGCTATGAAGCCCAGTTCTACTCTGACACATATGGCATTGTCATGAGTCAGAGATGACTCAACAACTAGTAATAGTCCTGAGAAGTTTAGATTCTTAAACACTGTAAGAGCCAAATAGAGTCACTGGCTTTTCAGCCTATGCATAAAATTTTCAAGAAGCTTTATCCTACAGCCACATATAAAACATTTACCATTAAGAGATTCTTAATTATATGTATTTGTCATTTTTTTTCCCCGTTAGCTTAGTGGAGACATGATTATGGCCATAGGGAAGTAACTCATTGAAAAAAAGTATCTCTTTTGAAATGCAAAATTAATTCTGATTTTCCAAAGAAAAATGGACTGAACTTGACTAAATTTGTGTCATTCTGAACTAGATTTATCTTGGAAATAATTGCTATAAAATCAGTATCATTATACCTCTGATACTAAAATAAGAATATTTTCCAGGTGTACAAGACAATATCTCCCCAGCTCATTAGAAGAATGTGACTGGATTGAAAGAAATTTTGTACTTTAAGTTTTTAAAGTAATATTTAGAATTACTAATCAGCAGTTTACCATATTGTTCCAAATAATGTGAAAGTTGGAAATTAAAAATGAAACAAAAAAGGGAGTGCTCTCTCTCTCACACACACACAATTAGCTTTAACTTAACTTAAACAGACATTTACCAGCATTACCATGCTGTGTCTATGTTTAACACAACAAATGGAAACAAATGTAAAAAGATTTATAGTTATTTAAACAAACTGAATGGCATTTGTAAAGAATGCAGCATGATGCAGTCCTACCAGTTGGCAGATTTCCTCATCTGAATGGATAATTATTACCTAACAATCAACAACTGAATGATTAAGAACTGCAGATGTGAAGATAACTGCTTACGTTAAGAACAGTAAATTCATTCCTTACAATGAACCCAGACTAGAGCTACACCTGTCTTGACAACAAAAGGAAGAACCAATAAGATAAATCCTGTCATTTTATTTGTATTCCAGGATGTAGCATATTCACAAGTGACTTTTACTGATAGCTCATCTATGGAGCTGTTTCCTACTTTCCTTCCATCCCTTGAGCCTTAGTGTCTTAAACTCTTAATTTTAAAAGTCAAAATTGAAAGCACTTTATAAACAAAATTACATATTTTCAAGATTTAGATGGTGACTTTAACTTTCGTAGTATATGTTGTCATGAGGGCTCTGAAGTGGTTTTTCCTGGCCCGACCTCCAGCTGAGAATTTGCATTTTCACCCTACACAGAATCTATATTTTAACAAATTCCCAGGTGATTGACATTTTCTTTTAAAGACCAACCAAATCTCACTGCCACTGAGTAGATCTGACTTACAGCAACCCTACAGACCAGAATAAAACTGGTGGCATAGTGCCTAAGGTATTTGACTACTAACCAGAAGACTGGCTGTTCAAACCCACCAGCCACTCCTTGGAAGGAAGGTTGGGCAATCTACTTCCATAGCGATAACACCAAGGAGGAGTCACTATGAGTCAGATCCAACTCAACGGCAGTGAGTTTATTTTTTTTTAGGTATAGGGTTTCCAAGGCTATAAAATCTACCTAAGCAGATTGCCTCATCTTTCTCCCACAGAGCAGCTGGTAAATTTGAAGTACAGACCTTTGGTTAGCAGTTGAATGCTTTAACCACTGCACACCAGAAATCTTATTTCAAAATAGCCAACCCTAAAAGATAGGAAGCAGATCATTCAAAGGAGAATCAATATGACAGGGGTCTTTAATTAAAATTCAGTAGTAGAGGGCTTTAAGACATCTAAGAAACTCTTGAATTGGTACACAAACCTTGAGTGAATACAAATGTTTCTAAAGAAAGGGAACATAAAGTGTCAAAGGAGTAGTGTGTGACCCAAACATATTTGTTGTTGTTGTTATGTGCCATCGAGTCAGACCCACTCATAGTGATCCCTCCTTGGGTTTCTGAGGCAGTATCACTACGGAAGTAGATTGCCTAACCTTCCTTCCGAGGAGTGGCTGGTGGGTTTGAACCGCCAGCCTTCTGGTTAGCAGTCAAGTGCCTTAGACACTATGCTACCAGAGCTCCCAAACATATTTAGGAACTGTTATACAGGCAGTTCCCAGGCTTTGAACACTTGACTTAGGTATAACTCTATAGTTACAAACCAACAGTCCTAAAACCTGTTATGTTATACATTAGAGGTACATACAATGGTTCATAACAACAAATGGGGGCTACTTTGTGAGCAACAAAATATTATTATTATTGTATTATTATGCTAAAGATGTTTCAGTATATCTGGAAGTGTTTCTTTAATGTTTTTTATTCACAGAAAATGGTATACTATATAAGTTTCCCTGATTATCTGAAAGTAGAGCATTACTATGAAACCATCCTTAAGCTGAGATGGTATAAAATGAAGAAGCAATTACCACCAATTTATGTGAGAAAAAGTGTTTGAGCATTCCCAGGCCCCAAAATAACCTACCAAATAACACATAAAACCTAAAATACTACTAACATATAATGTTCACCGGCACAGTTCAAAGCAGTGGCAGCTTGATGCTGAGATGTTTAGTGTAGTTCTGAGAGATGGAGCATGGCAATGCCACTTTTGCTGCTCGAGGTGCTCCCTGCCTCTTAAAATGGCTCTTCGCAAAACAAACGCTGAATGCTACTTTTGCTTTTCACTTTTCTCATAAGAGCGAAAATTCTCTTTAGATTTCTTTCAGTTAGCCAAAACAGGTACTAATGTAGATCTTTTGTAAAAGCGAATTCATAAAGTGAATTTTCGAAAAGCAGGAATACCTGTATATTATATTCTAAGACAAACATCTGACTAACTGACATTAGATACAAACAGCACCTAACTTTTTCAACTTAATGTACAAATTCAACTTAAAGACAGTCTTAAGAATGGAACTCATTCATAAACCAATGACTGCCTGTATAATAGGAGCTCTGGGTGACCTGTGGTTAAATGCTTGTAGGTGAACCAAAAGGTAGGTGCTTTGATCCTATCAGCTGCTTTGCAGGAGAAAGATGTGGCAGTTGGTGTGCAAGATTTACAGCTTTGGAAATCCTATAGGGTAGTTCTACTCTGTCCTATAGGGTTACTATAAGTTGGAATCAACATGATACCAATGGTTTTTGGATTTTATATAAGATTTTTTTTTCTCCCACTGAGGCCTAAAGAAATAATAGAATAGTTTTAAACTCTTGGCTAATTTTCACCTTTAACATCATTAAGACATATACACAAAGCCTCACTTGGTAGCTTCTCTCTCAGTAATGTTGATTAAATGCTTTTGTACTTTCTAAAATATTTTTAAAGCCATTTTACCTCTGATGACTGATGGTAAAATGAGTCAGTACATTTCTGTCCAACAGAGAGCAGTTGCTGATAAACAGTAATTCAATGATTGTGGCTGGGAAATAGCAGTATGGATCACTTTAACAGAATCACTAAGTGGAATTTTAATATTCAGAGATACACAAATACATTAAAGATCACTTACAAGAGAATAAACTTGTAAAGAGAAAGTACTCTCTCTGACTTCTAAGGGACTCCCATCGGAGGTCATAGATAATTAGCCTAAACTATACCACATTCCTTTTAACAACTTAGGTCTTTTGTGACTATTATGAATACTAATAATTACCCACCTATGGCCACCAAGAAATCCTACTTGTGTGTGCTTCAAAAGATTTAAGTCTTTATTAATCACAGTGGAAAGTATTTCCAAGATAACTCAGTTTGAAAACCAAAAAGAGGAAAAGCAAATGCTTTACAAGTCATCTGAGATTTCAAGAATCAATCTTTGCTCATGCAGACAACTTGGCCCTTGATGCAACAGCTTCCAAGTTGAACACTGGACATGCCTACCTTGCCCTCTGTGTTTGCTTACCCTTGGTCTGTTTATAATGCTCTGTACCATAAAGACTACAGGGTTGCCTGCTTTCCGAATGGCTTCCACAGCTTGCTCATGGCTTGCATCTCTGAGATCCATTCCATCCACCTGCAATGGAAGGCCTCAGCTTAACATTACAAGAAGCTACAGAACAACAGAACAATTCGTGGATCTGGAGTTTTGAGGATTCTTATTAGCCTCCCAGAAAAGCTGTTTCAGAATAAAAAAAAATTAAGACTAACTTGCGAGGCTCCAAAGCTTTTAATCTCTCTAGACTTTGGGCCCTTGTTTTGGACACCAATTTCCTCTCCAATAATCAATTGGACTAATACAACTCATAAGGAAGGTACTGCTTCTGCTTTCCTTACACTGCTCAGCCATTCCTTCAGTTTGAAAAATCAGCCTCACTAAAGAAAACATGTGAGAGAACTGGCTAGCAGCACTGCCTTCATCATGAAAATCACAGCACTCTCTCTCTTCCAATTCAGGGTGTGGTTAGGGGAGTGGGTGGGTGATATTTGCATACAACGAAGCTTGAAGTTAAAAACAAAAATTCTCATGTCCAAACACATCAGGTTATGGTTAAGGGTTAGTTTTGCAAAAGAATCTTTACAGTAGACATGACAGGAGCTGGAAGCGAAGAAATTGTGCTCGTTAGTAACTCTTATATAAATAGCTTGAAAATTAAAGTTATTTTGTAACTTTTAATTGACCAGGGCTTGCCTTGGTGATGATCAGTGTAGCTTATGTGCCATATGAGTAAGAAGGAAAATAGTCTGAAAGGCCAAATGCTAATCCTGTCAGGGAACTATAGGAAGCTATTATCATTTCCAATTACCGCAATAAGATATGACAAAATAGCCAAGTCAGAGTGGACTCAATTCTGGAAAAAAAAATTCATTATTATGTCTTTGCACTGAACGTCATCACCTTTAAAAGAAGGATTCTATATATTCAGTTTCAAATCTCCCTCAAGTTAAAATTTAAGTGACATAACAAGACCTCTTTTAGGGCATATTAAAAATGGCTTCTAACTTTTTTGTAGGACAGTATTCATGTTTACCATATATTCTGTAAGTTGACAAATTCAACTCTATACTCAGAATGCAATACTCAGCTCCCTGACATACATTTTCAGAAATTCTAGGATTACAGAGACCTGGGGCTTTCTTATTTACTAGAATTTATTTACAGCATGTAACAGCACTCAATAAATTACTGCTAAATTGCATACAGTATTTTACAATACAAAATAATCTTTTATTTTCAATTTGAAAGGGATGCTTTAACTCCATTAATACAATTAAACATTTTGCTATAAACTGTGATCTATTTTGTAAATTAATTATAAATATTTCTTATTCTTTCTGTTTAGGTCAAAGGTATTTAATAGTGAAGCGTGTATAAAATAAACTGCCTTGTAATAATCTAAAGCTGGAAATGACGGTTCCCCAAATGAGGCTAAAGATCACTTAATGAAAGGCAATGATGCTGGAGGAGAGAATAAGCCATCATTCTTCCTTATAAATGGTCACAGCAACAAAACAAAACAATGACAAGGGAAAAAAAATGACATGACCATCACTTTCAAGTATCAATCTTCCTCCCTCTTCAGCTCTCAAAGACAACCAACCAATCAATGGAATAATAAATAAATAAACAAATCTCCAAAATACTCATTTTAAGTCATGGTTGATACGCTGTAACTCTCTTCTACACAATTATGGTATTTTAATATGTATGTTATTTGGAGGGTGTAAGAATGAGAGACAACTGTTAAAGTAAATATAAGTGTCACAGGAACAATGTTTCTATTTGGACCTTTGTCTCTTTTACTCTATTCCATACATTTTGAAAACTCAGCAAATCTGGGTCAGGTAACCCTTTCTAGAAGTGTCCCACTAAATAAAACTATCAGCTTATCTTGATTTAACAATTTATTATACTGCTTGACGTTACTTATCACTTGTCCAGGCTTTCCCACTTGACAAGCAAGAATTGTGCCTTGTTTATCGTGGATGACCAGAGCCTGTTACAACACCTGGAATACAACAGCTGCTTCACGATTCTTGAAGTAATTCAGTGAGTGACTCAGGAGAGAAGAATTTATTTAAAATATTACACTTTCTTTAAACTAAGGGAGTAGGCATAATTTGTCTAAATGTTTCTCTCTTGCACATAATAAAGCACACATACATGTGTGCATGCCACACACAAATGCACATATACACACATACACACACATATACACCTCTAAGTGCTAAATGGAGAAATACTCTCATGGAGGAAATTTCAAGTTGGATCAAGGGGCAACATTTCAGGTTGGATTGAGGGGCAACATTTATATTGAAGATAATTGGGGCCTTAACATAGATTTTACCACTTGGACTTGGAAAAATTCTTATCCAACAATATTTATCTATAATGAAATGATAGTGATAAAGTATTTCTTGAAATAAAGTCTCATTGGAGAACCTACTCATGATACATAATTTAAAAAAAAAATTTTTCCCTCAAGTAATTTGCTTTATTTCCAAAACAACTTAGCTAGTTCACCTTGGAGCCCATGCTTTTTAAAATGGTTGATTATACTTCTAAGTATCAGTCTCTACATTAAGATGTATATAGTCTGTTACCACATAGAGTAGAGAACATTATGGGTGAAAATAAATAAGAAATGCTTCAACCAAGAACATGTTACACTAATGTTGGGTCAAGGAACCAGTGTGAAAGGACAATTGCTTTGCCTAAAGGACTGTGAAACGGGAGGAGAATATTGGAAAAGAAAGCTCACTGGAGGTACCTCTACAATTCTATCTCCAGGTTTCAAGGTTCCATTTTTGCCAGCTGGACTATCTTCAAGGACATGCTTGATGAAAATGCCCCTCATCACTTCACCATTGCTTAGACGACTTCCCATCCCTCGTCCACCAACAATGCTGATGCCCAGTGATTTGCTTGGTTCTCTCCAAAGTTCAACCCTACAAAAATAAACACATTATAAAAGTCCAATGCCATTAAATATTCTCATTGATGCTAATTTTTATTAAGAACTTTCTGCTCAACTTATTGAGGTTTTACTGGTAAGAAAACAGGCAGTTTATAAGTACCTTCCCAACTATGTGTTTTGTTGGGTAGAATAAATACTAATGCATTTCTGAAGGTGGCTTATAACAAGTAAATACAGGACTCACACCCCTGGCTGGGCCATAGACCTACCTGAAACTACCATTTGCAGGAACTCTAATATTTCAGAATTTAAGTAATCAAAAATTCAGCTACTACTGAATATATGGTGGGTTCTGAGCTTAGCAACCAAATCAAGGCAAAGAACATTCCTACACACACTGTATCAGAAGCTTACTTCTGTATAAGTCTTTCTTACGAAGGCAGACATAGTAACTAAGTCAGGGCATGAAGAGTGGCGGCTGATAAGTTCTACCTAATCTGATCCCATCAGAGCTAAATTCATCTCCCATGCTTTCCTTTCTTGGCATAGTCTTGCTGTTCCTTGAGATCATCAGGCACTTCCCACCTTAGGGCCTTTGCACTTGCTAATTCTTCTTAGTTGAGCATATGTCCCCTAGTCACACAATGAACATATGAACTCATATGCAATCACTGCAAATAGCCATAGGAGCTATGAATGAATTACAAAGTAAGTATCTTGTGAAAAGGCTGAGGTATAAGAATAAGGTGATTTGCAGTAAGACGGTGTTGGGCTGAGATGAAGAAATAGCTTGGGGATAAGGAAGAGAAAAGTGAGATAGATACCAAGTACAGAGCTTTGAGAGTGAAAATGAGATCCTCTAAAAGCTGCTTCAGGCTGCATGGAGAACAATACAAAAACCAAAACCAAACCCACTGCCATGGACTCGATTCCAACCCATAGTGACTCCCATTGAGTTTTTGAAGTGGTAAATCTTTACAGAAGTAGGTTGCCCAGTCTTGCTTCCCTGGAGTGACTGATGGGTTTGAACTACCAACCTTCTGGTTAGCAGTCAGATGCCTTAGTCACTGTGCTACCAGAGCTCCTTATGGAGAACAATAGTGGACATTAAAAGGAGAAGGAAGTACAGTCCAAATATGGCTCCAGTATTCACATTTAAGGTGCTCTCAAAGGAGAGGAAGGGTTTGAGTCAGGCCTTCTGAGAAATGATGGAGGTTTCAGTAGGAAATCCTCAAGAGTCAAGAGAAACACAGAGAGCATGAGAAGGGTGACAGGCAGGGAGAGACAGATGATGACTGAGATAGCTTATTCCTTCTGCTAGCATTTTCTCTGCATAGAAATCTACAATCCCAGAAACCCTACCTTTTTAATTTGAAAGGACCTCACCGTGCACTTTGATCGTATAAAATTTCTGTGGATAGGTTAGTTAAAATCCTATTCATCATTTTCTCTCATTCTAGGGATTCTGTGAAAGAAAATAACTAACATCTTTCTCTGCTTCTTAAAGAAGTTCCTAAGTACACTAACAATGTAGATAAATTAATAAACTAAGCCTCTGGGTGGGTCGAACTGTGGTGATTGCATGTTGCTGTGAGGCTGGAGGCTATGCCACCGGTATTTCAAACACTGACAGGGTTACCCATGGTGGACAGGTTTCAGTGGAGCTTCCAGATCAAGACAGATTGGGAAGAATGAAGGGGCCATCAACTTCTCAAAGAATTGCCAGTGAAAACTTTATGAATAGCAGTGAAAACTGTCTGACATATTACTGGAAAACTTTATGAATAGCTCTGAAACACTGATATAGTTCCAGATGATGAATCCCTCAGGTCAGAAGACACTCAAAATATGACTAGGGAACAGTTGCCTCCTGAAATAGAGTTGACCTTAATGACATGGATGAAGTTAATCTTTCAGGACCTCCAATTGCTGATGGGCCATGACTCAAAATGAGAAGAAACAGCTTTGAACATCCATTAAAATTAGAATGTGGAATGTACAAAATATGAGAGAAGGAAAATTGGAAGTTGTTAAACATGAAATAGAATGCATAAAGATCAATATTCTATGCATTAGTTAGCTGAAATGGACTGGTTTTGGCCATTTTGAATTAGACAGTCATATGACCTACTGTGCTGGGAATGACAAATTGAAGAGGGATAGTATTACATTCATCATTGCAAAGAATGTTTCAGAATCTATACTGAAGTCTAATACTGTAAGTGATAGGATAATATACACATGCCTACAAGGAAGACAAGTTAATACTATTATTATTTAAATTTACTCACCAACCACTAAAGCCAAAGGTGAGGAAATTAAAGATTTTTACCAACATCTGCAGTCTGAAATTGACCAAACATGCAATCAAGATGCCCTGATTATTGCTGGTGACTGGAATGTGAAAGTTGGAAACAAAGAAGAATCACCAGTAGTTGGAAAATCTGGTGTTGGTGACAGAAATGACACTGGAGATTGCATGATAGAATTTTGCAAAACCAATGTCTTATTAATTGAAAATACCTTTCTTCCAACAACATAAACAGTGGCTATAAATATGGACCTCATCAATAGAATACACAGGAATCAGAGGAACTCTGGTAGCATAGTGCCTAAAGTACTTGATTACTAACCAGAAGGCTGGTGGTTCAAACCCACCAGCCACTCCACGGAAGGAAGGTTAGGCAATCTAATCCATAGTGGCACTGCCTCGGAAACCCAAGGAGGGGTCGCTATGAGTCAGGTCCGACTCAATGGCAAATAACAACAACAGCAGCATCTGTGGAAAGAGGTGATGGAGAAGCTCAATATTTTCAGCCAAAAAACAACTTACTGTGAAACTTACTTAAAAAAACAACTTACTGTGAAATAGACCACCAATTGCTCATATGCAAGTTCAAGATGAACCTGAAGAAAATTAAAACAAGTCCTAGAAAGCCAAAATATGACTTTGATTATATCCTACCTGAATTTAGAGACCATTTGAAGAATAGATATAATTCATTGGACATCGATGACCAAAAATCAGATGAATTTTGGGATGACATAAGAACATCATCTATGAAAAAAGCAAAAGGTCATTAAAAAGATAAGAAAGGAAGTAAAAAATAAAATGGATGTCAGAAGAGACTCTGAAACTTGTTCTTGAATGGAAAGTAAATAAGCAAATGGAAGAAATGACAAGATAAAAGAGATGAACAGAAGAGTTCAAGGAGCCATCCGAGAAAACAAAGTCAAAGACCTGGAGTTAGAAAACCAAAACGGAAGAACAGCCATTTCTCAAGCTGAAAGAATTGAAGGAAAAAATTAAGCCTTGAGTTACAATATTAAAAGACTAAATGGGCAAAGTATTGAATGATGCAGGAAGCATCAAAAGAAGATGGAAGGAATACACAAAACAAGTATACAAAAATTAATTGGTTGATGTTCATTTATTTCAGAAGGTGGCATATGATCATCAACCAAAGGTACTGAAAGAAGAAGTTGAAGCTGCACTGAATAAATTGGCAAAAGACAAGGTTCCAGGAATTGATGGAATACCCACTGAGATGTTTCAACAAATGGATGCCACACTGCAGGAACTCAACTGTCTATGCCAAGAAATTTGGAAGACAGCTACCTGGCCAACTGACTAGAAGAGATCCACATTTGTACCCATTCTAAAGAAAGGTGATCCCACAGAATGTGAAAATTATCAAATAATATCATTAATATCACACACAAGGAAAATTCTGCTGAAGAGAATTAAAAAATGGTTGCAGCAGTATATTGCCAGGTAACTGCCAGCAATGCAAGCTGGATTTAGAAGAGGACATGGAACAAGGGATATCATTGCTGATGTCAGATGGATCTTGACTTAAAGCAAAGAATACCAGAAAGATGTTTACTTGTGTTTTATTGACTATGCAAAAGCATTCAACTGTGTGGGTCATAACAAATTATGAGGGATAATGAGAAGAATGGGAATTCCAGAACATTTAATTGTGTTCAAGGGGAACCTGTACATAGACAAAGAGGCTGCTGTTTGAACAGAACAAAGGGATACTGCATAGTTTAAAATTAAGAAGGGTGTGTGTCAGGGTTGTACCCTTTCAACATCCATTTTATTCAATCTGTATGCTGAGCAAACAACCTGAGAAGTGGAACTATATATATGAAGAAGAACATAGCATCAGGATTAGAGGAAGGCTCATCAACAGTCTACAATATGCAGATGATACAATCTTGCTTGTTGAAAGTGAAGATGACTCTAAGCACTTGCTGATAAAGATGAAAGACTACAGCCTTCAGTATGGATTACAACTGAACATAAAGAATACAAAAATCCTTGCAACTGGACCAATAAGTAACATTATGATAAATGGAGGAAAGAGTGAAGTTGTCAAAGATTTCATGTTACTTGGACCCACAATCAACACCCATGGAAAAAGCAGTCAAGAAATCAGACAATGACAAGAATGCCCTCTATCATCACTTCTATTCAACATTGTACTGGAAGTCCTAGCCAGGGTCATAAGGTAAGAAAGGGGAATCAAATGCATTCAGATTGGTAAGGAAAAAGTCAAACTATCCCTATTTGCTGATGATATGATCCTATACCTAGAAAACCCAAGAAACTCAGTCAAAAATCTACTAGAACTAATTGAGAAATTTACCATCGTGGCAGGATACAAGATCAACATCCAAAAATCAGTTGGATTCCTCTACAC